AAATGTATCAGGTAGAAATTTTCATCTTGATCTTTAGCGTGCACATAATTTTAGCTTTTCTTGGTTTCTACTGCAGATGATTCATCCAATGCAAATGAATGGAATCCTAACATTATATCAGAAGTTGTGAGACCTCCAGAGCAAATTAAGTTAGTTCATGGTATGGAGGGAATACGATCTGCATCCAGCTCCTCAACATCCTCAGGTACAGTGTTTTCACTGTATGCTAACTAGTTGTCTGAATACATGGTTGTAGTTTGCTTTCACACCCCTCTCTTGTGAGATTTATGGTGGCCAAGAGCCATGCTCTTAACCCTTTAACTCCCAGAAGTGATCAACATGAAACTTCTCCCCATAATATCCTTATATTATCCAGCAAACAGCTAATGAGAATATTCAAAGTTATCAGGTAGACGTTATTTTGATCCAACACCAAATTCTCATAACAAATTTACAAGGAAATGTGTTGCAGCTAGAGGGGAGAATTACCATTCAGATCTTGGAAGTTAAATGGTTAAGAAAGCCAATTTTCTGTCACAGGTGAAGGTAAAGTCTGCACTTGAGCCTTGACATTTTATTTTTCCTAATTTCTCTTTCCTCTTTCTTCTTTTTGGTAGAACCCAGTGCCCAGATGAGAGCACCAGTAGACTCTCGTGGATTCACTGATAAACCACGCCCTATTGGTCGAGGGGGAAGAAGGCAAGTATTTGTTGTAAATTGTTATCCTAGGATAAAAAAAAGAAATTTATTGAATCTTTTGAAGTCCTTCTGTTAACATTGAGTAACTCCCCTCAACAGCTACAATACATTTGTCACAAGTGAGCTGATAGAATCTTGTTCTATGTTAAAAATAACACCATCTTACTAATAAGTTTGTTTTTCTCATTTCAAGTCAGTTGGATTATGTACAGAGGATTAACTTCATGACCAATTTTTATTCTTCTTTGGTACAAAATTTTAAGTATATCCTCTCCTTGTGGTCCAAAATTAACCTTCCAATATATACATATATGTATATAACACATTGTTTAAACAATTTTGACATATGCTTAGATGATATCACCATAAACAACATTTTGCTTTTTTATCATACAAATTAAATAAATTCCATGCTATGCTGGGTAAGAATAGAAATAGTTCACACAAGATGTCAAAATGTGATAAAAATGTGATAAAAATGTTATTTATACACTTACATGGTGGCTCTTCATGGGCCACTTTTTTGTTCTAACCACATTTTCTGAGATCTATTAGTGAACAGACATACGGCAGCATGGAATCTATTTGTTTAACTCCCAGATCAAATTTGTAATTCTCCTTACTGTCAACCATACAATTCATATATTGTTCAGAGAATTTAGTATTGGATCAACTAATTATCCCCAAATTGATATTTTTCTCTATTCTTGTCACTTATCTGGTTGATATTGTATTGATATTGTAAGGAGAAATTCAGTCTTGGTCACTGATGGGAGTTAAAGGGTTAATTATATGTATGTATAACTTTTGCAACATCATCATTGTGGTCATTGTTATCATTATCATCATCATCAGCTTCAAAATATGGTGTCTATTATAAAAAGAAAAATAATTAATGTTACTCTTCCATTTTAGATCTGATTTGCATTAAAAAAATTAAAATTTCTCTTTAGCATTTAAGGGAACCCTCTGCAGCATTTACTGATTAAATCTTATCTTCATATTTGCCTCTTCTTGTCTACGATTTCATAGATATGATGACAGAGCTGGAACTAATCAACAGTTAGTATCTAACAAAAATTTCTCTTTTTGCACCCTAACTTATGCATGCATTTCAAACTTACATAACTCAATTTTGCACTCAAAATCCTTCATACTTTTTTCATTAAACAAGAAATAGTTTGTCTTATTAATAGATGTGGATTGTATAAAGATCATTTAAAATATAGACAGAATCATAAATTTCTCTGTGAAAGTAGTTTTAGAGCAGTTTTCAACTGAGTGTCAGAAAACAAAAACCAGAGGTAATGCAGTGACCAACAGAAGATAGATCAACATCAACACTAGCCAATGAGGACTCAAAGTGAAAACAAGCAAACTGCTTTAAGGGTGGGAAAATGATAACCGCAAAGCTATGATTATTTTGTATCTGATTGGTTGAGTGGATGGAACGAGTTTTCTATCACCAAGCAAAGTAAAGTAAAACCAAAGCAAATTCTGGATTAATTCTGACACTCAATTTAAAAAATTGCTCTAGTATAGTACTATGGTATAAAATCAAGTAAACAAACAACCTCACAGAATATATACGTAAACAACTTGCCTTGTCTTAAAATCATTTTACTGTAATTTGTAGAAGAGGGCTTCATTTTTTTAAGGCAAACTGGCCTTTTTGTAGTTACAGGTTGTTCTTAGAACTACTGGTAAATGTTTTGCTGCAATTTTAAACCATTTCTCTAGATTAGCCTTCATGTCATGAGCCAATATGAATTTAAAAATATATGTAAAATCATTATAACACTTCTGATAAATGACAATAAATTTCCAAAATCCACTGAGTTGGGCAGAATCTTCTTTATCAATGTTTAGTACTGTCAGTAACAAAAATTTTGTCTGGTGTAAATCAATCTGATTAAAATATTGTGGTAATATAAAATGTAAAAAGGGAACTTTGAAAAACTGGGAGCATATCTTCCGCGTAAAAGTAACTGTAATTTAAATTCAAACTTATTAAGCTACCTAATGAGTTCATGGAAAAATAAAAAATTAATTAAATAGTACTAATTCTTGATTAACCATCAGTCACATTAACTCAGGAAGTTCTTTTTTAAGTGCCTCAAATACCTTTCGCAGTCCTATGCAATTCATTTTTGAGAGCACATGCAGACAGCTTACGGTGTCCCATAAGTGTCGTAGATAACATGTTAACCACTTATTTTGTCTCACATGGTCTTCAGTTAACTTGCATTGCCTGGTGTGGATTTTGTCTGGCAAATCTTCATCTTTCTTACATCTCTGTCGCCTTCATTATTTTCATCCAGCACGGGAAAACACCATGGATCAGTGTCAGCAGCTGAACAACTGCACACCCACCCTTCCACTAACCCAACGACAGTCGACTGATAACAAGTCAGGCTTAATGTTGGGTTAAGGGAGGGGTAGGCACGCAGTTGCTCTGATACAGACATAGATCCAAAACCACCAGCTTCACGGGCCAGTCCCTCTCATGGTTTTGATTTTGCTTCCTCCATTTTAGATTAACATCAGGGTCTATTGGCTCAGAGGACGAGTTTATGATGGCTAATGGCGATGCAAGTAGTTCTGATTCAGCTCCCTCAATGACAAGACCTGCCATGCAGCAGTTTAAAAAACAAAAGGAACACGCAGCTGTGGAAGGTAAATACTCACCTGAAGAAGAAGCGTAATTTTTTGACATTTTTCGAGCGAGCAGAGCGACACGTGTGAGGGCTAGGACGCACATGAGGGAGGAGTGCGAAACTCGCGTGGCCCACCTCGCGCGGGAAATTTGTCCTGTGTACTGTCGCTAGTGTTTTTGTGGAATTATGCAATTATCTTTAAGGCCTTAAAAGTTGCTCATATAAGTTTTGCTTGAACATGTACTTTGTATTTCAGCCTCAAGAGACCCGAAACCAATTAAAGTGGCACCACCAACCCGTATGAAGCCCCCCAGAAAATACAGTGAAGAACGCACACAGTCAGAGACGGGTAACCCACCGCCAGGACCGCATCGACCAGTAAGTCTCCAAAAACGTTTGCTTTGATCACTGATGAAGCTCATCGGGAACAGTTGATGCTCCACTGAGGAGGGAACATACCGCAAGTGCTGTGACGAGCTGCACCCCACAACCTTGTTTAATGGGCTTCGTTTATTTTGCGTTTTTTTTTTTCAGGCGAGCGAAGGCGAACGCGAGGCTTGTGCGAGGAAAGTGCGCGAGACGTGCGTGTTTCTCGCGTCCCTCTTCTCGCACGTGACTCACTTTTCGCGATCTCTCCACACTTCCCTCGCAGTTGCCTCTTATTATTGTTTTGGCGACGGTAACTAATTGGTTTTGATATATTATTGGCTGATCATCTGTTTTGTTTCATAGTCAATCACAAGGGGTGGAAAGTGGTACAAGGAAATGTTCAAGGAAATGCATTCAAGTGCAGGAAGTAAGTGTTGTCTTCTCAGTAAGAATAAAACACCAAGTTTCGCAGCACAATACACACGGGGATTCCATTCACTAATTTCTAGTCTGAGAGCAGGTCTTCATCAATAGCGCTTTTACACGATATCCATAGGATAAAAAACTGTTGTTCGTAAGTTTATGTTAAAATCTTTATCTCTCTTAAACCAGCTTCTTCAAATTTATCTGGCCTACTCGCAAGTGACGTTGCCAAGGGAACTGTCAGGGAACACGAAGGCGGCTCTGGTTCCTCGACTCCACCCAGGAGCGCATCTCCGTCTCCGGATTATAGAGACAATGATGTTTTTCTCAGAAAATCAGATTACGTACACGAAGAACCAGTCAGAAATAGTTACACCAGCAGTGTTTCATCACAACCTGAACCGGCGTGGTCCAGTAATGACATTGACAGGAGGGCTTCGTGGCAGCCGGGTGGAGAACGAAGATCCTCTCGACCAAGTACTGGTCATGTGCCGGCGTGGTACAAAGACATGCAAAAGGGAGTCGAGGTTCCAGTTCAAACGATTGAAGAACCGGAGTCTTACATTGTTCAAAAGAGGCCGTCATATGGTTAGTATCCTCTGTTCATCTTTCTGTCTCTTCTAGACACTTATAACTTTTGCAATACGCTTGTCACATTTCAACCAAGACAAGTTGGTGGTTATTAATTGAGTTGATGACGAAAATTGGCCACCGTGCAAAGTTTTTAACACTGATACTTCGCTTTGACAAAGGTCTACCGCCTAAAACTGCCTTTTTGTGGTTGGCTCTTAAAAATCTCTGGCAAACACTACCTTAGTAAATAGTTTACGGGAATCAGGGAAGAGTATTTTGCACCAGGTGGTACGAATGAACCAATCGTATGGCCGGATTGACTGCGTGACGCTTCGGCGTGATCTTGAATGCCTACCCAACCATATGCTTGGTTCATTCGCACCACGTGGTACACAATACCCTTCACTGATTGGCTGTGTACCTAAATGTCCTCGTATACTACTCTTACGTGCGTGGTGTATAATTAATGCGAAATTATTATTGTTTTCTTTAATTGTGGTAACAGCGAGTGTCGGGGAAGAACGAAGATTCCAAGACCCTGTACCTGCGGCGCCCGCCTCAGTGAATATCTCGTCCTCTCCTCGTACAAGTTACCTTGATCAGCGGAGATCTCCAGCGTCTGTGACCGTTCAAATGGAAGAAAAGAATCAACCGCCCAGCGCTTCCAGCCTGTATGAGAGCCGCTTCCGGGGAAGAACGGTAACTTGATTTGTTTTATTTTCAGGCGAACGTAAGCGCGAGGCGGGCACGAAGTTTGAGTCACGCAGGATTTTTTCACGCTCCTCCCGTTTGCAGGCTAGCGTTTGAGCTTTTCTATAGTGGACTGTTTTATTTTTGCGGTCAAGCGTGAGCAAAAATATTTATTGGATTATAAAACCAGATATTCCTAAGTTTTACTTTTACTCTCAAGGTCTCTTCCCGGTTGCCATAAAATTCTTATGATGTTAGTTTGGAGAATCTGTCATTGGGTTAACTAATCCCTGATTCATAGTTTGCCTTATTCTCATTACTTTTCTGCTTGATAATGTAATGATATTGTACGGAGAAGGTCTGTTTTGGTCACTCGTGGAAGTTAGAGGATTGAACTCCAGATCAGTTACACTTGGGTTCCCAATTACAATCCAGGATTCTCGTAATACCTTAACATCAGGTTGCATATTCTCCATACTGTCCTTTGTACATTTCCCATGGTACTGACAAGGAGGAATAGCCAAGTATTAAGAGCTTCTTAGATTTGTGATCATTTTCTTTACTCTCATCACCTCTGATTAAGTTTGACTTAAGTTTAATACTGAAAGGAGAAGATGGATTCTAGTCACTCTAAAGGGTTCAACTTTTAATCTTGGTCACTTTGGGAGCCAGCTTTTATCAAAATGATTTCTATTTGTGGTGGTTTTGCCCAGGTTCCGTCAAGAACTGCATCGGAAGAGCTACAAGTCAGGCAGCAGCCTCCTTCCGACGAAGAAGTCTTTAGAAGAAGAGAGGAAGATGCAGCGCGCAGGAGGAGGGAGGAAGAGGAACGGAGGCGAA